CCCCAAAACCCCAAAACCCCAAAACCCCAAAACCCCGCTGGATAAAATCTGGGTTTGTCTTGACATGATTATGATTAAATAATAAAATTAATTAAAAAATAATTTTTTATAAGAAAATAGTAGAAATGGAATGGGAATAAGTATTAGAGAGTATCTCGATAAAGGAAAAATGGACTAAAAACTTGAATAAGGATATTCCTCTTTTTATGCAAAATAATTCAAATATTGATATAAAGAGAATAGTACTAGATCAGCCATTATCTAATCTCAAGCATATGGAAAACTGGGTACATTTATCATTTTAATTTTTGGTAGAAAATGAATCTATTAGTCATTAGTGAAAAATATGGCTTAGTCATTGTAGCAGTAGACAGTTATTTACACGTTTATTAACTTGATCCCGTTACATTCACAGTATCTAATAAGAAAATGACTAAGCTAAACCTATAAAATGATGGAGTAATTTAAACTTCCTTGCTAATATTTATAGGGCAGCATAAATAATATGAGACTTATTAAGTGTGATGAAAATGAATTTCTAGCGATAGTTGACATGAATGGTCAAGGTCGAATGTTATTCTTAAATAATCTAGATAGAGATCCAATGAAATTTAGTAATATTAATGTGTAAAAAGATGATAACTCTACTTGGAGTATCGATGGTTCTTAGTAGTTACCTCCAAGAATTGTAGTTGGTTCAAACACTTATCAATGCACAGTATATGATATGCAAAGTAATGAATATTAGACAATAAATGCTCATTCTCATAATGTACCTTGTGTAAGTTTTTCACCTTGTGGAAAATTTTTTGCAAGCACAAGTATTGACAAGACTCTGAGAGTTTGGGAGGAAAGATAAATTGAAAAAGATGGAGGAATTAAATAATTCTATAGATGTGCTAAGTAGAGTATACCTAGTAATGACTGGGGTTGGGCAGTGTAGTGGATCAATAAGAATTCTTGTGATTTAATCATCCAAAATAATCATAAGTAATTGGAAAAGCCATAAGTAAATAATAGCAATGTACAGAAGCAAGCTAATTAAGCGGTAAATGATTTACTAAGAGGAGTACAATTAAGACATTTATAAACTGCAACGATAGGTGAGACTGTTAGATTGATATAAAACTTGCAGGCTTCTAGATGAGAGATATTCTCAAATATTCTTTAGAATCAATATTAATATCAAGATGAATTGCTAGAAGAGTATCCTGATTAGCTCCAGCAATAATAATAAAGCAGAGATTAAGGTTTAGACAGTGAAAGTAGTGATGGTGATATGGCAGAAGAAATCTTTAGTACAGCTGTTGTGTATGATTAACCAGTTGAAATAGGAACAGAAACATCAAATGAACAACTATTAGATAAATACATTTTACTTCATTGTGCCAAATTAGAATTTTCTATGATTGATGTATCTAGTGGGAAATATTTCGCAGATTCAGCTTAGGATATCCGATACCAAAAAAATTCTCAAGATTACATGAGAACCATAATGAAATAGCAAATTTAAAATCAAATGTATTTTGAAGAATTGGAACTTAATCAAGTTATCAATATGAGGAATTATTCAAGATATCTTTTTCTAGAATTTATTGAGGAATTTTCCTTGATTTTGGTGGGTAATTAAGGTTCTTATGACTTGCATTTGTTCAAATTAATTAACACTCTTGACAATTAATAAGTTAGTAAGTTTAAACTTTAAAGAGAATATGTTTACAAAGGTAATCATTTTTAACAAAGGATTTTGGGTGTAAGTGTTATAAAAAATAGTGATTGTTGTAGAATTTACATCCTAGACTCTTCGAGTAATCTAAATATACTAGAGATAAGGCATTCTTAAATAGGATAAAATGGATTGAAATAAAGAATTAAAATAAATCAGTTGATTTTTTGATTAATATTATTATGCAAAACATTAAAAACTTTTTATCAGATTTTTTGTTTATTTAGATAGATGGGGTTTTGGGGTTTTGGGGTTTTGGGG